ATGCTCCTAAAACATTGGCCGTGCATACGGATCGCCAGTTGTTGAGGTGAGTGAGAGTAGGCCATGGAGGAACGGTCACTTTATCGGCTTCCCTCCTGGAAATTCTCACCTCTGTGACTTCAGGATCTGCGTCTCCATCAGGATCACGCGCATGAGGGTCAGGATCCGGGTCAGGTTTGCCTCCACCGCTTCTCTTCTTATCATCATCGTCATCATCAGGCGGATCTGGAGGATCATACCCCGTGCCGGTTCCTTCATCATGCTCTCCCTCTCCGTTCTCGTCGCCAGCTTCATCACCGTCATCGTCTCCATTGTCTTCCTGAATCGTTTCAGCAAATAATCTCCACTCATCACGATCAGCTCTGAGACGTTGTTCGGCTTTCTGGGCCTTGAGTACTTCGCTTCGCAGATCGGCAATCTTCTCTTCGTACCGTTCCGCGACCTCTTTCTCGATCTGACGCCTCCTTGCCTCATGGATAGAATCGTCATAGGCGACAGGGGGACCAATGAGGTCGTTGCCCTTCGTAGATGCGATAATGCCGTCGATACCAACAGGTCTTGAGGAGCTGGCAGATGCTGTGGACTTCGATCCCAACATCCCGCGATCCTCCAAGAGTTCGCGTAGCTGTCGATCACGCACGGCTGCCGCATCACTTTGCCCATGAAATCCGCTTGGTATGCCAAACAGAGTGGCTGCACAAGGCGTGGAACGCGCATGCGCTGGGCTGCTAATACCTGGCACGTAGTGCTCGGGCATTGCATCCGCCGCCACGATTGGCGTTGAATAGGATTTATTCACCTCACCCAGTGAAGAAGTTTCCAAAATGGAATTCCATCCATCGCAAGGTTCTTGTCCTTGTCCGATTCCGAGAATGCGAACTTCTCTTTGGCGACTGGACTAACTTGACTTGGGGACCGTATTTCAGGGGATCGTACCTCACCTCCTACGGAAAATGCAGGCACTACTTCCTTTCCTACGTGCTCCCAGCCAGACTCAGTAGTCCTCGAAGACATGGGCATGCTCGAAGGCCGTGTCGCTCCGCCATGAGTTGGAGTTTCGCGCTGCCTCCAATTCGCTGCGTGTCCTCGCTTGAAGATCTTCTTGTGCTTTGAGCGTTTTCCTGAGTTCACTCAGCTCGTCGTGCAAGGTAGGCAATGCGCGCCTTGCATGATCTTCATTCTGATGAAGTCGGTCCTCTGCATCTTGCATCCTCCTCACAGCCATTTTGCGGTACTCTTCCTCTTCACCAAGACGTTCACGAAGCCGAAGTCGTTCTTGATCAATGGCTGCGCTGTTCCCAGCTAGCCCTTGGATCTCGTTCACGGCCCGCAACTCCTGATTCTTGACCAAGTGGAATCGTTCCTGCATTGCTTGTAAGGCTTGTTCCGAACTTGCTGTGTTCGACCGGAGGAACAAGTTCTCTCTGGCATGTTCATGAAGTTCATGAGTCAGACGCTCATACTCACGTGCCATAAGCTCACCATCGCCTTGCGCTCTTGCCTCCAACTGCACAAAGTTAGTGGCTGCTTCCGTGCGAAACACGTGTAGCTGCTGAGCCAACTCCTCGGCAACGGCGTGTGCTTGACGTTGTTGAGCAGAGTTCTGTTCATCCATGCGAAACAAAGCTGCTTCATAGTCTCGCTTCATCTCCTGATTGACATTGTTGATGTGCCTCATGGCTAAGCATGCATGGTCACGTTGTCGTTCCAATTCTTCGATGCGAATCCCAGATCCTTCATCTTCTTGTTGCATCTCCTTGATCTTATCCATCAGGGTCTGGACAACTCCTTCGTACTCTTGCATCTGACTGCGATAGTACATCTGCTGCGCAAGGTTCGATGCTTCGAGCTGTTGCGAAATCGTCAGTTCCTGATAGGCATTCGGACCATCGGCTATGGCTGGCGTGGTCACCGATGACGCATCACCACGTGCAGGAATAGTGTCCAGAGTCATATCCAGATCGTCAGCATCGCGTGGTTGATTGGTAACCATCCGATTCCATGTCATGGACTTGTCACGCCCACGAGTAGCCGAAGTCCTTGATCGTGCTGAAGAGCTTCTCGAAGATGATGGTCTCGACTTCTTTTCCAAGGTCTTCACTCCCTTGTCCTTGGCCCTGGACGTAGTCCGAGGTGCCTGAAAACCAGACGCTTCGGCTCGTCGTTCTGGAGCCTTGCCCGTCCTCGAACCTGTGGATGTCGGACGCGAAGGCGTAGATGCTCTTGGTAGACTCTTTGCTTTCACCTTGGGAACTGCCTTTGCAATGGCAAGCGCAGAAGATTGACCTTTGTCATCTTCCGTGGAGCTATCAACGGATTGCACCACTGTGTCATCAGCTGTTGACTCACCAACGGCTGGCGCTGCCACATCGGCACCGAAAGTCATTGTCGTATCTTGGCTTGATCCCGAGTTCATTGTGGTCGTAGTAGATCAAGTAGTCGTTGCTGTAGAAAGGCAGAGCCGCGTACGGCTGATAACCTGCGTGGGGGATTGATCTCGACTTGGTTGCTGCTCTCCCCACCAGAGCTGTAATGAATGTAGGTGTGGCTGGCTTGCACTCTCCACAGACTGGACCCTGTCTCTCTCACACTTCCACACGTGCGATCCTATGCAGGCAGAACCGGCGGCCGTTCCTTTTGCACTCGCTGCCGGCGGCGGTTCGTCTGTGCACGGGATAGCTCTGATTGCTCAGGATAGAAGACACATATAGCACTTAGCTATGGGCATTGACTTGAGCCAAACGTTGCGTGGGCGGTCACATAGAAAGGTAAGGAGAAGCGATGCGGTGTGCGCAGCACGTCCACAAGCTTACTCCTAGAGTCGAGGGACGCGTAGCGTGCCCCCTTAGGGTCGAGGGACGCGTAGCGTGCCCCCTTCCCTTGCACTTTACATGGTCTTGCTCACAGCTCTTATAGTGACACCTTAGAACTTGACAAGGCATCGCAGTCCGTTCGCATTTAGGGTTTAAGGATTAGGGCTTTAGGGAGTTTAGGGGTGTAGGTGTTTAGGGAGTTTAGTTTTGGAACCTGATTAAGAAACCCTGGGCCTATAAACCCGAAACAGTAGGATGCATAATAAGGAACCCTGATAAAGGCCCAAGGTTACTTAGTCAGGTTCCTACACTACAGGGGTTCTACAGTCTTTCCGGTCCAAGAGCTTTGCATTTCCATGTTGCAATCTACGGTTACTGTACGGTTGCGGGCTGTGGAGGTTTAGATTTCAGTCCTTCCAAGGAATAAGAAGCCGATGAAAAAGGTTCTCAGCAAGTAATATACCAAGCTCGGGATGATTCGTAACCATTCTGCCCACATCCCTCTACTATAACGCACCCCCCAACCCCTTTTCTTAGTGTTCGAGCGCCTATACTTAAACCGCTACAAACCCAATAAGCCCCTTGAAACCCTCCAGAAGCTTTAAACCTAAAGCCCTGTAAGACCCCTTGTGAAACAAGCCCTAAACCCTAAACCTCTAAACCCCCAACCTTGCGCCCTAAGCCCCTAAACCCTACCTCTAGCCGAAAAGAACGACCTTTTTAAGGAAGTATACATAGAAATCAAAATTCATAAGGAACCCCCCAAAGGTAGGTCTTTTCGGCTACAGGTAACCACTCGATGTCCAGGCGTCAGTTAGGACATGTCGGGCCTTGGTTTCCCGAAACTTGGCGACATCGCCAATGCTCGTAAGGCCCAGCAGCGCGCGGACCTGGGTTTGCTTAGCCCAAAGGCTCCATGGACCTTTATAATAGATACTTAGGCCTTTAGGGGGTCCCTATATTTTAGGTACTTTAAGGCCTAAGTACATACTATATGGGTAGATGGAGCCTTAGGGTAAGGGGCTGGAGTTTGTGTTCGGGTTTAGGGTTCAGGGCCTAGCGCTAATTGAAGGGTTCCGTGGAGGCTTCTATAGGGGTTTAGAGATGAACGGATCGAAGGGTGTGATAACTATGACTAAGGTCATTCAGAGTAGAAGCCAGAAAGTTGGAACATTAGTCATGTCATGAGGGGGGGTCCTAGCACTAATCCTCCTAAAGCCATGTTCCAACTTTCTGGCTTCTACCGCAGGCTTTAGGGCTCAGGGTTTTGGATTTCGGGTTCAGGGAAGTCGAAGAACCCTTTCCCTCGAACCCTGTGGGCTCACAGGGATTTCTTCGAGATTGCTTGGGGTATAGAAGGAGTCCAGGGTCTCCTAGTGTGCCTAGAGACTCCAATAAACACCCCTTGATTAAGGAATATTCCTTAAATTATAGTAGGTTCCGTTATATGATTTAAGGTATATTCCGTCATCAAGGGATATTGGAGTCTCTGTGTGGTCCGGATGACCCGGTTGGTTCCTCCTGGTATGGATTTAGGGCTTCAGGGTTTTAGGGTTTAGGGGTTTAGGGATTTAGGGATTTAGGGTTTTAGGGTTTAGGGTTGTACTACTGTTGTGCTCGGGCTTCGGATTTCTACCGGGCACCAAAAACAGTTGGATGCGGCTTCTGGGCTGGCTGCACGTGAAGTATGTGCGACCTTTAAGGAACATTCCGTGCTAGCAGTTGGCTCCCGTTGAGGAGCCGCATGTTCTCGGACTTTGTGCTTCAGGCACCTGACTTTCAGGATTCGGCTGCCCCCTTTACTAATCTCTCATCTCCCCGACCGCAACGGAAAGACGGTTGATAAATGCGATTTTGCAGAGGAAGCTTTTGCAAGCTTTCAGAGACAGGCTAAAGCCAGAAACCATCCAACAAATTCACTTAAGGGAGAGGACTGAAGAATCAGAGTCAGAGGGTTTGGGGAGGCAAATTGCAGGATAACTGGGCCTTTCTTTGCTACTGCATGGGCAGGGATAATTTGGCTAAGTAACCGATTATGCAGCCCTCCTTAGAATAATAGATTCCTTTCAGGGACCCTTGAAGGAACCCAGGCACCCTCTACTATACTGAACTTAGGACCCTAGCAAAAATTATATTTTTAGCTGTTTCTTAGGGATTATAATAATAACCAAAAATCAAAAATGATTTTTAAGTACCCCTAAGACAACCCTGGGCTGAGGAGCCGGCCCATGCGCGGGCTATCGAGGGCTTCTCCCCCACGAGGACAATCCTCTTGATGGTGCGATCCTCTGACCGCCATAGCTGGCCGGATAGCCACCAGGAAGGGGCGTTGGCATCCAAGAACTTCAGTACCTGGCGGTTTAAGGCGTGGGGCTTAGTGTGGTCTGCTGGCCCTTTACAATCATACCTGCCAAAGGATATGTAATACCAGCGTTTTCTCAAGAACGGCCGAATTGCTGGGGGTCTGATGTTTAGCTCCCGACCTCTGTGGACATCACGACCATGCGGCTGACGTCGCCGCCGCAGCGGCGTGCTGGCCAAGGGCGCACCGGCGGCCAGCGTTGAAGCTAGCTTCTTCTCAATCTGTTTTTGCCTGTCGTGTGTGTCGACGACTCCAGCCATGTTCAGGTGCAGGGCGCCGAGCATGCTCTCCAGCAATACCTGGGTTCTTGTTAAGAAATCTAAGTTAAGATACCAGAGTAAAGAAACCTTGTCACAAACTATAGATCCCTAGTATGGTAATATAAATGTCCTAACAAGAACCCAAAAGTAGTGTAAACTTGTATTTCAATATGGTTCCTTGAAGGAACAGGTACCACAAACCCAGATCTAAGTTAACTATAGATCTTCAGTATGGTAACTTATTTTCAGCTCTTTAACAAGAACCTTAAAGTTCCTAACAGCAACCCTAAATTCCTTAACAAGAACGCAGATACGGGATCGTCAGTGAGGTCTTGATGGTCCTCCTCGAAGACTCCGCGCATGTCCTCCGCCTGAGCGGCTGCCGGCTGCAGACTCTGAATCCTCAACGAAAGCGGCTGTCCATTGACTGCAATATACTCTTACAGACTAAAAAACTATAACAGACTATATACTATAATATGAAAGACTATGATATACTTTCTGACATGTACTATAATTTACTGTAAAATGCTACAGTATACGATAACATCCTCTAGTAGCGCAAAAAAAAAGCGATCTTGATAGGAGGCCCTGCGACTGATCCATAGCAGCCTCGTCGATGGCACAGCCCTGCAAGTCCTGGGCGGCCTCAATAAACTTCCTGGGCTCTTGTTAAAGGGTTTTGTTCAAGGTACCATAAAGAAGCGACCTTATTAATCATTTCCCATAGATCCCTATTATGGTGACTTAAACCTTAAACCCTAAAACCCTTAAAAGAACCCTTATAGATCCCTTAAAGGAGCCGTCATAGATCCCTAATATGGTAACTTAAATTAAGTTCTTAGGGGGGAAAGGGGGTAGGGGACTATACTTCCTTAAATAGACCTGTCCTTATTATGGTCATCAAGGCCCCCATAAACCATATACCCTAAACCTAAGCGCCCCATTGAATTTAGTTCCTTCAGAAGAGCCCAGCTTCCTCCAGATCGGTGCACAAAGTCCGGCGGAAGTAAGGGCGCAGGCATCCCCCACCACCTGCAAGCACCAGCAAATTCTACACCTTACCAGGGGGTCCAAAAACCTGCCCTTGTAAGGGTTCGACCTTCTAATTGAGAAATGATAACCTACTAGTTTTGGAGGACCTGCAAGGCACCAGCAAATCCTAAACCTTAAACCCCTAGACCTAAGAGTAACCTAAGCATTAAAAACGTGCCTTTTTTGGTTTAAAGGGTGTTATAAGGGAACCTAAACCCTAAAAAAGGGAATCAGGGCCAACTCTGGGTCCTAAACCCTAAACATCCCAAGCCTAGCAAACCTTAACTCCCAAGCCCTACCCTTTTTCTCTGGGAGCGATCTTGAGGGCAAGGCCTTTAATTCAGGTTTATGGGTTCAGGGTCCAGAGTTTAGGGTTCGGCGCTTAAGAGTCTTGGTCTTACGGGGTTGAGGGTTTAAAGGTTTCTGGGTTTAGGGACTGGAGTTATCGGTTTATGGTTCAGGGTGTGGGGAGTTCGGGAGTCGGATCTTGAAAAGCTCCGAATCCAAGCCCAAAGTAGAGTCCAGCCCAACAAGCGAGTGTAAGATGAATTGGGTTCGAAGCAGAAGCCTGTATAGTTAGTCACCCGCTACTAGTCTTTAGGGTTGGGATTCTTAAGTGCAGTGCAAAACCGTGCTCTAGTTCCTTATAGTAACCCTCATGGGAACCCTCAAAGGAAGGCTTTAAAGGAACCCTATTCAGCCTATTGTTAATGCCTTATTAAGACCCCTACATCCCTTTTGATTCGTTAGCCCCTGCAGTACAGAGCCCTCGACCCTGAACCCTAAACTCTCGACCGTAAACTGAGAACCCCAACAGCTAAACTATCGACCCTAAACTTTGAATCCAAAACCCTGAACCTAGGTGGGGCTTTTAAAGCCTTTGAAAAACATTAGTAAATAAGATCCTCTGAAGCCCAATAAGGGGAAATATAAAATGTCCCAAAGCCCTACCTAGGAACTCTAAACCTTAAACCCTGAACCCTATATCCTAAACCCTAAACCCTCAACCCTAAACCCTCAACCCTAAACCCTAAACCCTAACCCCCAAACCCTAAACCCTAACCCCCAAACCCTAAACCCTAACCCCCAAACCCTAAACCCTAAACCGTACTTCCTCGCAGAGACCACAAGCCCCAAGGGTCCCAAGTGTCCACGTACTGTACCCAAACGGCCTCTTATCGATCCCAAGTAAACGAACCTTGTAGTACCTTATAGATCCCTACTTGGAGGCCCTTTTGACTTAGTAAGTAGGAGTTCCTTTAAAGGGGTCCTAAAAGGGATCTATAGGGGTTCCTTAAAGGGATCTATAGGGTTTAGGGTTTAGGGGTTACTTGGAGGCCCTTTTGACTTAGTAAGTAGGGTTAGTAAGGTGGGTTATGGGGATTATAATGGGGTTTCTAGGGGATACTAAGTAGACTTACTAAGTCAACAGGGCCTCCAAGTGAAGGGAACCCTTGTAGATTAAACGCTCCATAAAGGAAGCCCTGCAGATCCCTTTAAAGGAACCCTATAAAACCCCTATAGATCCCTTCAACGGGACACTAAACCCTAAACCCCAAACCCTGAACCAAAGGAACCAAAAGTCTTGACGGCTGGCCACCCAGAGACTCCAATATCCCTTAATCAAGGAATATTCCTTGAATCATACAAGGGATCTTACTATAATTTAAGGAATATTCCTTAATTAAGGGCTATTGGAGTCCCCTAATTAAACCCTAAACCCTATAGATCCCTTGAAGGAACCCCTGAGGATCCCTTTAAAGGAACCCCTAGGTATTCCTTAATTAAGGGGATATTGGAGTCGCTGGCCAAGCCACGATTACGCGCCGGCGTGCGCGCGTCATCGCAACGTTCAGCATCGCCTCAGGGGTCTGCAGAGAGAGAGAGAGAGAGAGAGACCAATACCCCTTAATTAAGGAATATACCTTAAATTATAAGGGGCTTCATATTATGATTTAAGCTATATTCCTGAATTAAGGGATATTGGGTTCTCTGGGTGCAGAGAGAGCCTAGGATTTAACGCTTTAAGGGTTAAGGGGTTTAAGGGTTTTGTGTTTAGGGAGTACCTGGGGATCCAAAAACCTACCGTTTTAAGGGTTCGACCCTCTAATTAAGGGGTCATAACCTACTATTTTGTAGTGTTTGGGGATACAGGTAGGGTTTAGGGCTTTAAGGGTTTAGGGGTTTAAGGGTTCAGGGGTTTAGGGGTTTAGGGTTTCGGGGTTAGGGTTTTAGGGTTTCGGGTTTAGGGTCTAGGGCTTAGGGTTTTGGGGGTTCCTTTTAAGGGATCTATTGGGGTTTAGGCGTTCAGGGTTTCAGAAGGGTTCAAGGTTCCTTGAAAAGGGTTCTAGAGGACGTGTATTGTAAGGGATTAGGGTGGTTTAGGGGTTTGGGGTTCCTTTAAAGGGTTCTACATGGGTTTCATTACAGGGTTAGAGATGGAGAGGCTTTGGGCTTTTTGTTCAGGGGTTTATGGTGCTTAGGGGTTTATGGTGTTTAGGGGTGTATCGTGTTTACGGGGTTGTTGGGTTTAGGGGTTTATGAGGTTTATGGGGTTTAGGGGCTGAGGGGTTTAGGGCTTGGGGTTTCGTTTAAGGGTAGATTGATTCACGGGTGCTATGACGGCACTGTAGGGCTTGTAGGGTTTAGGGCTTTGGGGCAAGGGTTTGTGGATTTACGGCTTAGCGTTTAGGGTTTTCGGTTTGGAGATTAACCCCTCACTTAAGGACATCACGGTTTTGCAGCGTGCCGTGGGGTTCTGCAAGGGCTGTTATAGGGTCCTTAGAGGGAAACCTTCAACAAACAAGGCCGGGTTCAAGTATTTGTTTGATTGGGGGTATAGGCCCTTACTACTTGTCGGGTATCATGGGGAACTAAAGGTTAACCTTTTTGGTTATATAGGGACTATACTACCCAAAAAGGCTAAAGGTTACCTGCTCTACGACTAGGTTTGTTTGATTGAGGGTATAGGCTCTCCGCGGTACATTCCCACTCCTTGCAAGTTTGGTCCAAACAGGTCCTAATGAACACAAGAAACTTGGGTGACAATTCTAGCAGAACTTTTGAGGTACCATAAGTGGATGATACTTCCAATTATTCAGACCTCGGTACCCTGCAGAAACCTAAAAACCCCTTGCACCAAACCCCATAAACAAAACACCACATGGGTGGCTGTCAAAATTATGGTCCCTCTTTGGGTGCCCTAAATATTAGGTGCAAGTACTGTATTAGGGACCCAAAAAGGGACCCTAATTTTGACAACCACCCACATGTTACAACACAGAACTCTTCCTGATGTCGGCCAGACCTCCTCGCGAAGGAATCCCAGCTTTGCCTGCAGTGGGCGGAAGGAAGTTTGAATTTGAGGTGTGTATCGTCTAATACAGGGGCCTTCATACTTAGACTATGGTTGTGGGATTGAATATGCTTTACCTGTATCCCCAAACCCTACAAAATAGTAGGTGACCCCTTAATTATAGGGTCTAACCCCTAAAACAATTGGTTTCTGGATCCCCGGGTAACTGTAGTGAAGAACCCTGGAGAACAGTTTGACCCCTGAGCCCTAAACCCTAAACCCTCTACCAGGCCTGCAGCTTCGGGTTCTAAGTTAGGGTTTAGGGTTTAGGTTTAGGGTTTAGGGTTTAGGTTTAGGGGTTTAGGGTTCAGGTTTGGGGGTTTAGGGTTTAGGGTTCCTTGAAGGTCTCCACAAAGGTACATTTAAGGCTCTGTTATACGGGTACCATAGGGGTTCTATGAGGGTTCGAACCCTTGTCCCGCTGCAGTCGAGAAAGGTTTGGGATTTGGGGTCTAGTCATTCAATTCAGAGGCGGTTTAGGGTTTTTAGGGTTCAGCGTCTACAGCAGCTCAGGGTTTAGAAGTCAGGGTTTTTCAATTTAATATGTGTCGGACAGTCTTTTGCAGATCAGAGTTGAAGGCATGTAGTACCCGCCATTTATGCTGACTTCTCTTTCGACACACAATCACCCACTTCCCCATGGCCTTCGACTCGGGATCCATGCATTGCGAGGCGACAGTGCTGACGATCACCGTGTCAAACTCCTGGCCCTGAATGTTCCTCGCCCACAGAAACGCGCGCTGTAGGGCTTAGGCGACAAGCCCTGAACCTAAAAATTGAAAACCCTCAGCCCCCAAAGCCCTAAATCCCGAAACCTCGAACCCAAAAGTCCTAAATCCCTAGCTTTTGGGCAGCAGGGGACAAATTATACCAGGTTTATAACCGTGGCTCAAAGGGAACACTGCCGCAAGTTATGAAAGCTTCTTTGTTATGCACATGCTACTACAAGCAACGCTCCTGATTTCGGGTTTTGGGTGGGGGTTTAGCCTAAACCCTCAGCCTTGAACCAAAAAAAATCTTAAACCGTAAACAGGGTCTCTGGTTTAGGGTTTAGGGTTTGAGGTTTCAAAAGGCTTTGGTATGGCTGTGACTCTAATGGCTCTAATGTTTAGCTTAGTGTTCACCTGTTTGCGTCGCCGGAAGGTTTGGGATGCCTTGGGCAACAGGTGTGGATTAGGATGGGGGCGATCGAGTTCTGTTGCTCTTCTTCCCAATGGATCGGATGCACCTAGGCACCAAAACCCGAGCTAAAGCATTGTGATCGCTGTGCACGGTTCTTTCGCTTTGGAAGCCTGACCCAGAGACTGAATGTCCCGTAACTGAGGAATATACCTTAATTTGTAGCAGGATCACTAACATGATTTAACAAAAATCGCTTAATTAAGGACTATTGCAGTCTCAGGGGAATAGGCAGAAAAAGATCCCCTTGTGGTCCCCATACAGTTCAAATGCAGAATACAGATGTGCTGTCACATACCACGAAACCTTGTTTTAACTTACTAAGGACCAGCCCCTGAGAAACTGACCTCGCTTAAAAGGGAGCCTACCTGAGAGCAACCCAAAACCATCTCAAGAACCCAAACCGCAACCACCATACCCGAAACGCGAATGAACAAAAAAGCAGACTGTCATAGACCCTGCAAGACACGGATCCAAAGCCCAAACCCCAAAGTGCTCTTGAAACACATAGGCCATCAAATTTGTTCTCAAAAGCGGGCGGGATGCAGGATCCGCTGAACATCCAGATACCCGACATTGTGAGACCGCCTTCTCCGCTGGAGCAACCATACCTGCATAAAAAGCTTGCTTGAAGGTTCATGGCACTTTGTAACCACGGTTATAAGCAAAGTAACCATGCCTATATTTACTTGTAACCTCAATTAACTTAGGTATAGCAGTAGTTACCGAGTCCCATGAACCTCCGAGTAGGGTCAGAAAGCGCGAAAGTCAAAAGGCGGGGCTTGGGCATTATAAGTTCAAAATGAAAACCGCATGTAAAGTTCGGATGCACCGCCTGCGAAAGCTCGGAAGAGATGACGCCGACGTTCTTCTCACCGCCGCTGTGCAGAGACTCGGCTACCTCCATCACCTTGGCGACCTCGGCCTCGTTCGAGCATCCGTAGGAATCTTGTCCAAGATGCGCTTCTGCAGCCTTCATGTCGTGGCAGTTTCCCAAAAATGGGTATCTTACTTGGGGTCCTCATAACAAGGATCCTACTGTTTAGGGTACTATATTAGAGTCCTCAATTTTCGGAAACCCCATGTGAAAGCTCTTGGGTTCAGGGCTGAGGGCTTAGCGTTCGGGTTTGCGGTTTAGGGCCAACCCTCTTTAAACCCGATAATGCCACGGAAATAAAAGGTTAAGCTTTCCGGTTCCTACTAAACTATAAGAACCCATAAAGTTTAAAGGTTCGGTATTGGGGATCTAAGTAGTTAAACCCAATGTAAGCTATGTATGGCCCTTGTATATTGTATAGCCCCATATAAATCCCATAAGCTGCCCAAAAATTCCAAAATCCCTGAACTAAGGAATTTGGTTTAAGGTTTAGGGGAGACACAAAACTTAAATCATACTAGAGATACTAGGGATCCGACTGTAATTGACGGCATATTCCTTGATTAAGAGTTTTGGAAGGTCTGGATGAAACCCTAAACCCTAAACCCTAAACCCTAGAGCTCGAACTGCCGGCCAAACTAGCAGTTCATGGGACGTTGTATCTAGGGCTATAAGTACGATAGCGATACTTATAATGAAATACAACCCCTGTCAAGGTACGTATCACAGTACCTACCAAGTCCCATGAACCTCCAAGTAGACAGAACCTACATGAATGAAGGTGTACAGTGTACCTGGGCTTTGAGTTTAGGGCTACATGGCCGAAGTCACATGTGGCTTCTATGTGGCCCCTCTGTCCGATATTGAAATTGTGATTTGGGGCGCGTGCTGCGAGAGGCCGTAGCACCCGCACGTGCACCATACCTCCATACCTAGGACCCTAGAAATACGGGGCAAGGGGAGGTCGGAGCAGCCTCCTGTCACTTGCGATGCTTTCATACGAGAAAGGCAAAACAGAAAGCGTCAACAAAAACATGTTGAAAGGGCCAACACCGAAACCCTTTAAACCCTAAACCCCGACCTCCACATGGATAAAATGCAAAGGCCGGAAGTGGCCCCGACAAGGCCCCCGGAAAGTTTGGGCGCTGATGTCGCGTTCGTAAAAGACTGGTCCTGGCGGCTTGGGTATTAGGGTTTAGGGTTTAGGGCGGCTTGGAGATAAAGTGGGGCTTCCTGCACTCTTGGGCATAAAGAAAAGACCCTAAACCCTCAACGCCCCCCCTTAAAATCTATGTCAAGGTCTTATGCCATATACCTGGCCTCATACTTCCCTTGTGGGACATGCTAAAAAGCGCTGTACGGCGTGGGGTTCACGGTTTGGGGACAGAGGCCTGGGTGTCGAGTGCCCAAAGCCCAGAGACTCCAATATCCCTTGATTCAGGAATATACTTCAAACTATAGTAGGATCCCTCATAAGACATATGATTTAAGGTAATTATGTTCCTTCATTAAGGGATATTGGAGTCCATGGGAGATCAACCCCTGAATCCTGCGGTTTGGGTTTAGGATCAAAGGATCCTGGGTGGTTAAAACGAAGTTGAAGCCTCAAGCCTCTAAGACGCCAAAATCCTGCGACTTCCTCTGGATTTAGTGCTTAGGGCTTGGAGTTTACGGCTAAAGAATTTCTGGTTTTAGGGCTTAATATAGGGGCCGTAATAACTAGAATAGGGTTTTGGGGCTCGTTACACTATGATTATGGTAAGGAACCCCTGCATTAGTATAGGTAATTATTAACTGGGTTGGCCCCTTTAAACACCCTGATAATATGTGTATATATATATATATATATATAGGGTCCCTGGCTATCCAAATAAGGAAAATGAAAAATGTCCCAACATCCAACCTAGTTAAGGCCCCTGTAGTAGGGTTTAGAGCTTCTGACTCCGCGCTTCGGCTTCTAGATCAGGTTCTCGACGTCTGGTTGGCTTTAGGATTAAGGGTTTAGGGTCTAGGGGTTACAGATTAGGGATTAGGGGCTTCGAGGTTTAGGGTTTAGGGTTGAGGGGTTTAGGGTTGAGGGTTTAGGGATTATGGTTTAGGGTCTTGCACCCTCGAACATTCAAACCCGAACCCGAAGGTCCGTGCCTGGCCATTCCTTTTTACACATTTGTATAAGAGAGCCGGCAGTTTGCAATTCAAAGAGCGGGCGGGTTGGGCGGGAGTACAGGCACCCCCCCATTTGCAAACCTTCCAGCATGAACACTGTTCGTCTTCGAGTAGGTGAGACAAATCCCTCGTGTTGTGATGGCATCCCTGAGTAAACCTAAGGCAAGCATCGTATCTAAGGTATACTAAAGGATCCCGGGTTATAAAAGCTCGAAAGATCGAATTCCAGACCCGGAACCCCTAAACTATGAACCCGAAACCCACAAGCCTAAACCTCAAACCCTACCCATTCAACCCTTGACAGCGCAACATGAAAGCCCAAAGCCCAGGCCCAAACCCTAAACCTGAAGCCTAAACCCCCTGAACCCCTGAAGCCTAGACCCTGAACCCTGAACCGTAGACCCTAAACCCTAAACCCTAAACCCTAAACCCCTAATCCCTAAAACCCTAAAACCCTAAACCCTAAACCCCTAAAACCCTAAAGCCCTAAAGCCTAGCCCCCAAACCCTAAAACTCTGCTAAGCATCCGTGGCGTGCTTCTCGCTTGGATAGTCAGCAGACGCTTTGCATAAACCTCCAAATCCCTCAACCCTAGGGTTTAGGGTTTAGGGTCAACCATAAACCCTAAACCCCCTAAACCCTAAACCCCTTCACCAACCAGCACTGTCCTATGAACTTGACGATCGCCGGGTCTGACCTGTAGTTCCTTCGTTGCTGAGCTCGTAAGCCCAAACAGAGAGAACTTCCAGTTTCATCGGGGTAATACTATCCCCAAAAGTGTAAAGTGTATTTCAGTGCCATAGGTCATAGGCGATACGTAATCTTTACCCCAACAGGTCTGTACTGAACTTAGAACCCTAGCAAAGATTATAATTTTAGCCGTTTCTTAGGGATTATAATAGCCAAAAGTCAAAAATTATTTCTAAGTACCCCTAAGTAGAGTGTACCCATTC